GAGACAGAGACAGAGAGGTCTGAGAGGTCAGACCTTAAGGACATGCAGACACCAGATCTACTCCACCAAGAAAACAGTGAGCCACCGCAGGGTCTCTGCAGTATCTTGCCTTCTGAATGCTAGAGCACAAAGCTCCTGTACCTTCAGTGCTTCTGTACAACAGAAAATTGCAACCAACACTGCAAGAAAACCCAAACCTGCTGAAATGCCACTCCTATTTGAACACTCCCCAACAGGAGATTAACAACCACTTGAGGGAGTGAGCAGGGCCGTGACCGCTTCCTTCCCTGTTGCCTCCTTCCCCAGCTGCCATTTCTGTGCACTGCAGGAGGGGGGCTCTCTCACCCACCCTGGCGACACTGAACAAACACGGCTCCACATCAGTGAAGTCTGTGTGAGCGAGCCGGTCCCCTCCACACATGTGCCCTTCAGTGCACATGGATGGGGCAGCTGCACTCTCACCGTCATGCTAATGTTTTGAAATGATTTTGCAGAAAACGAAAGAGCTCTGAGACTTTCCCTCCAGTGATGTTTAATCCCTTCATGCAGCTTTAAGAGACTGTAGGACTGGGGCCAGCTTGACTTTCCCTCACATGATTATTAACACAATTATTCACCATGTGCCCTGCATGGTGTTTCCCTCTGCTTCACAACTATTCAGGCAATTGCTTTATTCTGCAGGGACTCTTGGGATTAAATTTTGGGATTACTACCTTGGTTTCTACAGAATGGCTCCCTGCAGAGTCTGGGTAAATGGCAATGTCATACACATCTCAAAGAGGGATGCCAAACGCAGTGAGTGAAGCTGTCACTCTTGGCATGCATCCCAAGGCCATCAGAACTGGGATGCTGAAGAAGAGGAAGGAAACCTTAAGGAAGTAGAGATGAAAGATCTGGGCCCCCAAGCCACTGAAGCATCCTCAAGGTCACTGCCCGCATGGTCCTAGACCTTGGGAATGTTTTGGAAGAGAAAGGAGTCAAAGAAAGAGAGGAGGAAGAGCCATAGTCTTGCCCAGTCCAAGACTCTATGATGAGGCATCAGGAGCTGCTTGTGTAGGTCTTACCCACTGGTTCTACACCCGTGGGAGACACCCTGAGAGTGGAGGCCACAGAGTTACTGAAGGGGAAAGGTTCTGGGGAGAAGTCCCTAGTTTGGGTTCAACTATCATTTTTGACATGCACAGAGACTTATCTTCCAGCTTATTAAAGAGCTTTTAGAGTTACTTTGTCTTGTAGTTTTGAAGTGCCAAAAAAGATCTGTACAGCAAAGGGACTGTTTTGGTACTAAGGGCAAGATGGGGAAAACTGGGCTCATGACAAAAAAATGTATGACCAAGGTCTCCAACCATCCATTCTTGGGCAATGTGCTGGAACATGTGGTGGCTTCTCTGTTCTATGAATTGGATTAGCTTCAGGCCTGATTATGGGACAGAGGCAGCTCTGGTTATCTTGGTGGATGATCTACGCCTTGCAGTGGCTTTTGTTGCCATCACCTATGATCTCCTTCTGAAGCATGAGAGGGACTGAATGGAGCTATGCAGTACTGTCATATGGAGGTTCTTCTTGGAAAGACGATCTCAAAAGGGGCTGCTGAGGGATTCCACTTCAGTCCTGTGGCTGTTGGGTCCGTGGTGTCATTCCAGGTTCCCTCATATTCCCCATGCTACTTAGCATGCACATCAAACCACTGGGAAAGATTATTCAGAGCCTGAAGTTCAGTACCACCACCAAGCTGATGACGCCCAGCTCTTTTTCTCCTTGCCATCTAAATCCAAGGAAGCTGCCATGATTTTAAATTGATGTCGCATGTCAGTAAAAGATAGTATGAAGGCAAACAAATTACGAGCTCTATCTAGACAAGACGGACATGTTTTTTCAAAGATTCAACCTGTGCTTGATGGGGTTATGTTCCTCCTGAAGTCTCAGACTCACAAAATGGATATATGCTCAGACTCCTCCCTGAAGCTGGGTGCCTGGGTCTCAGCATCGTCCTGAAGTGCATTGATACGGCTGAGGCTAGTGTGCCAACTGAACCTGTGGCTATATATGTCTGATCTAGCCATGGTCACACATTCCTTAGTTACACCCCATTTCAACCACTGAAGCACACTCTGCATGGCACTGCCTTAGAAAACTTCAGCTGGGCCAGAGAGTTGATTGGGACCACTTCTAGGGGATAAGCAACTCTCTCGTTATAGCAGCTTCACTTGTTACTGGTCAGTGAAGTTTTCAGGTTTGGTAAAAATAGCACATCACAATCTACCAGCACTGTTAAAAAAGAGGTGTTAAATGAGCATAAAGAGGTGTTCATAGCTAAATCTTTGAACTTTTTCTGCAGACATAAGGAAGCTATAAAATTCCCAGCTCAAAATACATTATTTTGAGTGTACACAATCTTTCTCCAAAGAGGTGTAGTGTACCGTAATCCCTACTTGAACAGATGATTTTTTTCAATGCTATTAGCTGCAGTAACCTACATCAGTTATCGGTGTGCAGTATCAGAAAGTGTCCGTGTACACTCTGGGGTATGGCCAGCAGGTTCTATGTTAAAAGCTACCACAGAGAACTTATAGGTGTGCTATATGTTAAAAAAGAATAAAGAAGCCTAAACTTTCCAGGGTCAAATTCTGCACAGTTGTTTATGCTTTTAATAACATTAAACAGGTCCATGATACAAACTGTAAGTCTCAAGGTACAAATCTATTTGTGAAGGGAATCTGTCTTTCACACACACAAACTCAGGACTAATGATGTGAAGCCCCAAAACCTTCCCTCCCATGGAAAAATGGAAATTTAAAGGAAATAAAAAGGAAAAACAACTCCTAAGGGGAAAAAATCCCATTTTCTCTTTTGGAAAAAATACATTGCTTTTTAAGGCAAAGGTTCTACTCACAAAAATTGTGTTGCATTAAGGTTTCTATGTATAAACCATATGAGAGAAGGATAGCTCCTGTGTTTACTGTAGACATACACCGCAGTCAAATCCAGTAAGAATTTCTGCTGCTAGGGGATGCTGGTATTATATTCATGGGGGGCATGCAAGGCCTTTGTCATGCTTGAATTTCATCTTGCCTTCTGCTAGTAGCTATTGATTTGAGCAGGAATCCTGCATCTGCTGCCTTCTGAGGTTGTCCCAACCTTGTGTTTGAGCTTTTCACCCTTCCTCTCAAAGGACTGCAACACAAATTCCCTGTTACAAACTGGTGCATTTATATTTTGAGTAACTTCCACTAAACAGAGTGGGGTTTACATTTGAGTTAATATGCATACACTTGCTCCGTAAGATTCAGAGCATTCTAGATTCTATAAGCTTAATCATAAGTATACAAATATGCTAAATTGCAAATGAATCATGTGTGATGGTCAGTAAAATAAGTTGTTCTTTCTTGCTCTAAACCAGTGCGTCTGTATTCAATTTTCTTTCCTTTAGTGAGGAACCCAGGCAACTTGCAGAGTTCTCATCTATGCCACTTTTATCCTCAGAACAACCCTGTGAAGTAGGCAAGGCTGAGAGTGAGTGACCAGCCCAAAGCTACCCAGGAAGGCTCGTGGCCAAGTGGAGGCTACCACCTGGGTCTCCCAGGTTCCCCCTCCAACATACTAACTACCACACCACACTGGCTCGCAATGCACTGCTATTGCAGTAAAAGTTCTGGAACAAAGGAAGAATGGCTAGAGGCATAAATGAGATATGGAAAGGAGGCGTAAGCCATACAAAAGAGTATATGATAAATTATAGGCTGACAGAGGGGTCTTTCTTTGCTTAGATTTTCTATTTCATCATAGCTTTGGTCAATAAAGGCCAGATCTCCATCATTATTCATACTATTCTGACATTTATCCATGACATTTCATACCACGTTGCTGACATTTCATACGCTGACATCACTACCCTGCAAGCAATCATGATATTAAGCCATTCAATGTGCCAAAAGACTGATTCTGGACTTGGGAGCTATATGTTCAACTGTCAAAGGATTTTCAGTAGAAGTTCTCCATATTTATCAAGTGTCAGACACAGAAGTCAAGCAAACAGCTTGAAGAATTCTTTTTAATTCACAGTGCCAATTCTGAGCAACATCACTCTCTCTTGTCTATACAAATATAGAGGTCAGATCATAAATATATGCCCTCCCGCCCCTTGAGATCAGCAACAGATGCCCTTCTCCGGGAACCCTCTGTGAATGATATTAGGAGGGTGAGTATCCGGAGGAGGGCTTTCTCTGCGATGGCGCCCCATCTATGGAATGTGCTCCCCAGAGAGGTCCGCCTGGCGCCGTCGTTATTTGTTTTTCGGCGCCAGGCTAAGACCTTTTTATTTAAAACTTATTTTAATTGTTAAATTATTTGTATTTATAGGATTTTAAAATTTTTAGCCGAGATGCACCGGAGGTTTTTAAATAATTTTTTATTGTTATATTGTTATTTATTTATGTATTTTGTTTCTGTTGTGAGCCGCCCCAAGGCTTCGTTGCGATGTGGGCGGCATAAAAAAGTTTTAAACAAACAAATAAATAAATAGGAGTATGTACACTTAAGTGTGTGTGTATTGCACAACACAACAGCAGTGGATTTTAGTGAGCGATATAAACAATCTGGAGGGGGGGTCTGAGAGGGCATGCAATATTTCTACTATTCTTGATTTTGATTTAAGTTCAGTAAAAACCTATTAGAACAAGTTTTAAACCATCATTTTTATCCCAACATTTCTGGCAAAGTTAATATAAAAATAGCAAATTCTGTTTGTCACTCACCTGCTTTTTTGATGAGCACAATACTGATTGGATTGCAGAAGATTTTTGTGTTTGCTTCTTCTGTGATCTGTATTTCGCATTTAAGTAATGCTGGTTTCTTTTCTTTCAAATGGGTAGTCTTCAGTGTTTTTACAGCAGTGATTCCTACAGAAACTATAGCTCTTGCACTTTTTATCTTGGGAGGATGGACAAAATAAAGCAAACTGAAAATAATACTACAATGAATGGTAAAATGATGAAAACGGTCTACAGCACAAAGAACAGTGTGAACAGGAAGACAAGTTTAAATATTGTTGCATAAGAAAGGGATGAAAATAAGACAAGGATGAGAATAAGTAAAATGATAGGCTGGAACATCTGGGAAGGTAAATACAAAGATAATTCCATATTAATGAAACAGCAACATTAGCATTTCTTGAGAAAAAAAAATCCACATACGGAGTACCACCTTGAAAAGACTTTGTATGTCAGGTCTGATTATATTCAGTGGATCAGGTTCTCAAAGAAGTCATAATGTTGTTACTGCTTTCATCTTAGAAACAAATGTTTAATTACAGATACGTAGAAATTCACTTATAAAAAGCTTTATTTCCTTGGGTCTGAAATAACTCAAAATTGTAATAAGAAGATGTTGTCATGACTTTACCATTTTTCCAGCCTGTGTGATTTCATTCTGTGTTTTCATTCACTTAATTTGTAGTAGCTAAACAGCCTTATATTCACTGCACCTCTGACCTTAATGTTAGAAGAAATCATTTTTACAATCTCTTTATTAAACATACAGCTGTGGGCTGATTAAACAAATGGCAGTTGAAAACCTGTTGATTCGGTGCTACATTTGGCCTGAATTGGCAGCCTCTATATGCATACATAAATCTGAATTTGCCTACATACAATTCCCATGATTTTCTAGCATATTTTGAGAGAAAGACTGAAAATGGGACATTCCTGTGGTTTCCTCACCTTACAAATTATAAGTGCAATTTACTTTGCCACACCACACATAAGGTGACTACATGAACAAGCCCTAATTTTAAAAAGCAATCTTTAGGTATAAACGATGCATGAAGCTTTGATACAACCAAAGTAAAAACTGACCTCAATAGGACATTAAGATTTAGTAAGTTCACCACATTTCAAGGAATATGAAATATCATAGAAGTCCACCTGCATGTTGCTGGTTGGAAATTCAGAGCTAGGTCCCTAATGCTCTGGGATCTAGCTATAGTACTGATGATACCCCATCCTTTTCCAACCTGGTCTTGCCACTACGCTGGGGAAGTCTGGGGAACTGGGAAGTATGTCTCTCCCTCAAAACCCCAGTAGGCTGACCCATGCAGAGCAACCTTTTTTAGGGGGCATGCTGCCCACAATGGCATACAAACAACAGTGAATGAACAGGTTTTTTTCCTTACTTCTTACTGCCCAGAAGAAGAAACTTCAGCTGCAAAGATAGCTCCGCAGTAATTTACACTCACAGCAGGGACCAATTTCAAGAATGTCCATGCAAAGATCTCACAAAACACCCTACACAAGCTTACAAGACTATGTTTATAGTTGCATCAGGTGAGTAGAAACCCTGTTCATTTAGTATTGTTCAATTATCTGAGAGCACAGTATAATGTAAGGTGCCTCTTGTAATCAGTTGTTAGGACACAATGCATGCAATAAAGATACAGAACAGCCTCTCCACTGAGTCAGACCAATCTGTTTTAGAATTTCCACAAAGGCACTGAAGCAACAGCTGTCTACAGGTATTTGTCCTCAGCATTTGTACTCTGAGGTATATTGCCTCTAAATATGAATGTTCAACTTGACTATCACAGTAGAGAGACATTCTGTCCTCCATAAAGCTGAGTAATTTTAAAAAGCCACATAAGCCATCATCATCACATCCTCTGGCAGAAATGAGTTAACTATGTGCTTTGTGAAGACATTCTTCCTTTAGCTTATTCTAAGTTGCCTATTTAATTTCACTGGATTCTTTCAACAGGTAAGGCTAGGAATTTGGAATAGTTTCAGTGCACAACCTCGACATGTCACAGGCTGTGCTTTTAAAGACAGGAGAATAGTGTTAAGAGCTGTCCTAAGAATTACTAATTAAATATTTCGTATCCATCTCGCATGTATCTTCATACGATATCATTTCACATAAACAAAACATTCCTTGTTTCAGTTTATAATTATCCAGATATTTGGAATGTATCCATACACTCAAGTCAGTTTTTACAGAGACTGCATTATTTTCTGCTGTTGTTTTCAATGTTATGTTGTAAATTGAAAAGATGCTTTTGCTTGTTAATGGCAAATCAATCAACAATAATATGTGAGTATGCAGCAAAGTTTTCTATTGCCTGCAATTATGTCTGCTATTTTATTTTCTTGATTTTATCATGCAAGTCGCTCAACCTCTAACCGATCTTTCCTATTTTAACAGGGGCCACAGTTTGACTTTAACAAGACATGAAGCAGCAGCAGTAGTGGAACTGCCCACTATTCACTCCCCCAGGATAAAGCTTTGGCTGAGTCATTTCCTTATTTATCACAGAATCATGCAATAGTAGAGTCGGAAGGGGCCATGAAGGCCATCGGCTCCAACCCCCTCCTGTTACAGGACACCAATTTACACCAACCCATACATGTCCAGATATGTCTGTATTGCTTAATAATAAAAGGTTATTTTCCCTTAAACAGTGACATTTTCCTTCTGTGCTGGCTCTAATTGAGGAGGGCTCTCAGACAAGATATCCTCAGTGCCCACCCTCACTCTAGGTCCAGCTTCTCCTTGCTGTCAGCTGCCGCTGTTGCTCCTCACCCCCACAGCATGCTTGTTCACCAGAAAGAGAGCTGGCAATCAGCCCACTGGCATCTGCATTCATTTGCCTCCATTTAGCCAGAGAGAAACGTAAGAGAAGCAAGCTGATGGTAAAGTTGCCGATGAGGAAACCAGCAGGGATCTCTTAGCAACGAGCAGAGGTGTGGGCCTCAACAAGTGCCAGTCAGGCTAACCCCAAAAACCGACTCTGTGATGCCCCTGAAACCCAATATTGCAATTAGGCTGCAAACTACTATGCATACGATTTTATGTTAAGCCACAAAAATGTAAAAGATGTGCCATTTATGTGTATAAGGAAATGTAGATCAAATATCCACATTTTTCTACCTTTACGGCTTAATAAGTAAATGTCTACCTGACTCACTGACAAAGGTTCATCTGTACTTCGATCCTCTGAAGACTTTGGAACTTCTAGTCTGTCAATAAAGGCCTGGAGCTCTTTCCTAAATGCCTTCATCTGGGCATTTATCCGATAAAGCAGTTCATGCTCTCGTATCCTACTGCCGTCATCTTCATCATCCATAAGTGCAAACAGGTCTCCATTTGCTACATAAATTCTTGCCTCTGTTATTATGGTGCTTGTGTCTGAAATCAGGCGATCTATTGTCTTGGCTAAGCGTTCTGCTTCACAGCGGATGTCCTTCATTTGCTGCCGATCTGTAAAGCTTTTCTGCCATCCTGCAGGTGTTGGATAGAAAGTTCTAGTTGGAGTCAAGCAACGGATGTTACGGACCTCCTCTGAGTCACTTTCCCCACCAATAGGGCCTTCTCTTTTGCGATGTGGAGGACGAGAATCATCATCACTTTCTTTTTTCCCTGCATCACTTTCAGCATCGCTGTCTCTAGGACTGCCTCGGATCCCCAGATGAGAGGCCAGATCATAGCGCTGCATGTTGGACATCAAGACTCTGTTCTCATATTGAAGTTGCATGACTTTACCACTGAGTTCATTGATCTGCATGCGTGCAGCTTTGAGTTCTTCTTGCAGTGCTTCAGTTTTGACACTGTCGTGGTGCCTTGAGCTGTCATGAGCCCCAGTCTTGTATTTATATTTGTTCAGCTCTGCTGTGATGCGCTTGTTTTGTTCCTCTACATCAGCCAAGTTTCTTCTCAACAGTTCTGTTTCATCCTCAACTAACTGCAGATGTTGTCGTAACTCTGAAAGAGATTCATTCTGCTCTCCCATGAGGGGATTGGCTGCCCCAGAGAAATCATCTCCTCGTAAGTCATCAAGCTCTGCTTTCAGCCCTCTGTTTTCTACTTCCAGTTCTACTATTTTCCGTCCCAAAATATTGGCTTCTTCCTCTACTAATCTTAGACGAAGCTTGAGTTCTGCCTCTCTTGTGGTAGGTGGGCCTCCAGCTTCTCCTTTTGGCAAAGGACTATCTAGATCACCATAAAATGACCTATATTTTTGCAGGTCATGTTCAAATCTGTCCTTTTCCTTGTCTATTTTGGCCAACTTTTTCCTCATCAGGGCAGCCTCCTCTTTTGCAAACTGTAACTGGCATTTCAAATCTTCATTGTCTTCCTTTATAAAAAAAGAAAGAATATTCAACAGAAGTTTGCATATAATAAGGACACTCTTGCAATCTAACAAAAGAGAAGACCAACAAGTAGAATAATGGCCTCAATGAGATTATTCCTTTAATTTAAATGGAAGCAAGATTTCTTTTAAACCATATTTCAAATGCCAAACATCCATGCAGTACAATAAAAACAGAATCTGCCACCAAATCTACAGGTAATTCAGGATCAGGCACACTATAAAGGCTACTGTCCTGATTCATGATACCCCAAAGCCAACTCAACACATTTGAACAAAAAAGCCTAGTGCTCAGTTCTTCTACCAAGGGCCACAACAGAAGCAAAACTGAGTTTTCCACTGACTGTCCCATCAATCACAACTTACAGTGTATGATACACATATGTAGTCCTGCAACTGGCCAATCAGAATAGCTGATACTCTGATTCCTACTATTATCTACAGAAAGGGAATCAGTATTATAGAAATATGATCTCTGACATCTTTTCAAAATAGTGCATCAACAGTAGCAATCTGTTGTGATTTATGTAGCAGTCATTTAAGTATAGTCCCAAGCACTAGAAGTTAGAAACACAGATGCTAAGAACTCCTCTATAATTAATAAGCACATTCAGATTTAGAGCACTTAAGGTAAATCATCCAGAAAAATACCATTTGTTTTACATTGTTGACTAAGGAAAGGCTTGGAGTCATGGATCCTTAGCCAACATGGCCACAGTTTACTGGACTGTAGCATGCTGAAACAGAAGTATTTGTGCTCACTTCAGTGGGTGTCTGTTGCTTTTTTTCTGATTTCTGCAGGTCTTTGCTTCCTCTTCTTTTCAGGGACTGCTATCAAAGGAAAATTAGATGTTTAAAATATTTTACTAAATATGTATGCAATGCAAATTAATTAAGTCAATTTTATAAGCACTTTAATCATTCCAAGTTGCTGTTTCATAGAATTTATGTGAAGGGAAAGAGTGAAATACCTTATTTAGAAGTTATTATTATACATTCTGCTTCACTACAGACAAGGAGCAACTAAGATAACCTTTAGTCATTGCTATTTGCTACCATTCTGTATCTACAGCTGAGAAATGCAATGTTTGTGTTTCCCCATGTCCCCAGCAGCTTTTTAAGTGTTGAGTGTCGGTCCTCTGAAAACATTTTATGACAAGTTATAGCCTCTCTCCTCTGTTTGATGCGTAAGTTAGTAAAAAGCAAGCTTTTCGTAAAAAAAACAAAAAAGATTTAGTTAGTAAAAAGTGAATTTAAAACAAAATTTGGAAGTTTTAAATTCTGAATTTAAAACAAAAGTTAGAAGGCACTTTTAGTATGAAATGAACTAATAGTTTTTATAGAAACTGCTAACATTCATATAACCACTTATCATTAACTTTCTAAAAAATAAAATGTATCATATTGAAGTTGCCTTTGAATATTATGTTGCTGCTGAAAACAGAGCGACATAAGTGGCCAATCATCAACTTAGCCAGAATATTTCTATTTCAGTGGACTTAGGGATGGCCTTCAATTTTACCCAGTCTGCACATCATCAATAGCCCACAGGGTTGTTGAAAATGCTGTGGAGTGAATTGGCATGCTTGTTCCTATCTGCTGTGATATCAACCCAAGGTCTCTAGAAATTTTGTCAAACTCTTTGGGGAAGTGGGGACCAGCATACACACTTTGCTCCACTGCATTTTCAACAACCCATGGTTTGTTAACATTGCTGCTAGTGTGCAAACTTGGTCTTGGAAACTTCTAGACAAAGGCATGGTTGTCCATATAGCAGACTACACCTAAACTGCAGGTGATGGGAAGAGGCATGTCAACATTCTGAATGGTGGCCAGTCAAAAACTCAGCAGAGAACATAATGAAATATCAGTGGGTGGATCTCCTGATTATCCTCAGCCTCACCAGTCACTGCTCTTTATCTATCTAATGTACATTTTGATGGAGCAAAATCTTATTGGGAACTGCTGACTGCTTCCCCATGTGACTGACTGACTGACTGACTGACTGACTCCACAACATTCTGACCAGCCTCTGGATCCTTCTTGGCAGGAAGGAGTATGTAGCTTCCTCTTCCAGCTGAGCCTTTCTGGACCAACATGGCCTTCTTGAACAATGGTGCGCTCCTGCATACTTGAGTGGGTTTTGGTACTGCAAGTCTTGGACATCCTGCTCCATTAAGTAAACGGAGCGCTATTTCAACTGTTATGAAGTTTAGCATGGTGGAATAAACACTTACAATCACCTTCAATTCCTCCACAGTAAATAATAAGCACTAACCTCTTTCATCTTGTCAAATTCATTCTGCAGAGCCTGCTTAGCAATCTCCACTTCTATTAGCTGCTGCCTTAATTTTTCATTTTCATCTTCTGTGGTGGTGCGTTTTTCTTCCACATTTTCCAATTCATGGTGAAGTCTCACTGAAACATCCTTTGCAACCTGAATGGAACAGTACTTCCGACTTTAAAACTGAACCAAACCATACCATAGTCTGACTCATAGTTTGAATCAATTCTATCTAAGTAAATTGTTTTCCCACAGATTTTTAAAAAGTGAAAGCAAGATTACCATTCACTTTATGCATTCCAGTTTACTCCTAATAATTTCAAGGCAGGATGAATCTTAGCACTAGTGAGACTCAATAATTACAAGGCAGAGATGCCTAGTCTTCGATCAACTCTCTGACCACTATTCTAGACACAATCCAGCCAAGAGCTGGACTGGACATTTCTGTCAGGGGGAAAATCGCTGTAACAATATCTAACAGTATCATTCTTTAAATACATATTTATTATTTAAGTTGATTTGATTCTGATACATTACTGTAAAATATTTATGACGGCATCACCTATCGATTGGGAAGAGGCTTCCGTTTATTTAATTTTAAAAATATGTCGTCAATATACACATTTATTACAAATGCAGAGACTTTATGAAAATGCATTTATTTAAATTTAGGGCGCAAGTCCATGCATTTTCAGACAGAAAAAGTTCTACAGCTCTCTACATTTTCCAGCCAGCATAAGATGCATGCATAAGACTGTGCCCTTAATCCTAATGAACAAGCAGTTGCTTAAAGGGCAGGTGACTCTGCTGCTTCTTTCCATGCTTCTTTACTCAAGAGCAAATTCCATGGATTCCTCTCAAATCTGCATGCGCACAATTACAACTGATTTTTTCATCAATGAACAGTCTAATTTTTACTCCAATATGTTTCTTTTCAGTATGGTATAACCTATTCTGATAGTTCAAGAGAAAATATGATAAAAATCTAAGAAAGCAGATAACAAAACTATTGCTGCAGCACTGTAAAATGGAAAAACAAATACCAGATATCTCAATAAATTATTCACCATCTTTATGTAAATTTGGTATAACCAGTGTTAAATTAGTTGCACTGCTGCAAAAGGATTTATAATATCCAACTTCATCTGATTTTTGTACCAGACAGCTATTGATTAACACCCAGCTAGCAATTCTAACATTGTTTAAACATGCTATTATATTTACATTCTGAAAAGTAAGCCACACATCAGTAGCATTTACTTCTAAGTAAATATGTATGCATAGGGCTCTGGCTTTAAAGTAGCTTTCCCTAATGTCAGCAGCTCAGAGAAAAAAATGACTGGAAGCAACCCAGAAACCTATTATTTACCAGAAACAGCAGTGAATCATTCATTCACTTTAACAGGAAATACAAATGTCTATTAAGCACTGATAATCAAGATTATTTAGCTGTATGACAGAATCACTGCAAAATCTCTCATTATGCCCACCCACCCAGAAGATAGACACAAACTTTGGTGATACAGATTTGATTTAAATCAAAAACTGCAACAAAACAGAGAGAGAGAATGCCAACTCATGTTAGAGGTGTAAATCTGTTCTCCTATATCATGATTACTTTGCTATAATGGTATGTTTTCCATATCAAAAGATCCAGTTACACATTATCTACTTTTTTGCACTTCTAGACTAGAAAAGAAATTTCGGATAAGTCCCAGAAAGTTCAGCAACAAGGCTGAAACTGTTTCTGTTCTATAGACAAATTCTGCAGAACCTTGGACAGTGTTACACTGAGGTCCATGAAAACCATTACCCAAGCAGTTCAGCATGGAGTACCTGAGCACTTGCTCCTCTAGAAAGACCTAAATATTTCAATCAGAACTACCTGAAAAGTGAGTTTTGATAGCAGCCTTCCCCAACTTGGTGAGCTCCAGATATTACCCCTCCCATTCCAGATCAACGGCCATGCTGGCTGGGGTGATGGGGTGGTCCAAAACTTCTGGAGGAATGCAGGTTGGGGCATCAAATTCCTGTTCTAAAAGCCTTATGTCTATCAAGCCACCTCTATTTCCCATTGACATACCAGGGCACAGAGTGTTTTCACAGCCTCACAGTTATTTCCTCTCATCAGACTCCCAGCTCTTTGCCAATTTATGACCCTCTGGTACCTTCAAGTCCTGCTCCAAACTACGCAAAAGTTCTCCATCTACTTCCCCAGTTTGGGCATAGCGGAGCCTCTTGCGTTCTGCCTTTCGAAGACGATACTGGAGGATCCTGCAATTCTTGTTGGCTCTCTCCAGCTCATGCCGCATCTCCTGTAGCTGGCAAGCATCCTCTTCAAAGAAGCTGTCTCTCATCTCATCCATCTCAGTCCTCAGCTCATCTATCTCATTCTGTCATTGAGTCAGAAGGAAAAGGGGGAAATACACCATAGGAAAGGAGTCAGAAGGAAAGGAGGAACAAACAGAAATGTCTCTATGCCCTGCATGTATACCAAAAGGTAATCCTTGATAAAATCACAGATAAGATGGTAGGTATTTAATGAGGAAATCTAAGGGTTTCCCCACCAGTTGTGTGTGATACAACTTACTTGGTCTATCTGGGGACACAACTGATGTGCTACACTTTCTCATCATCACATTCAGCTAGTCAACTGAATGATGACAAATGAAGATATGTAATTCTTGAATATAAGATCACTAAATGTAAAATATGCTTTGATTTTTAAACAGATCTGAGCACAGTCTTTTTACATTTCAGATTAAAAACATTGTCGAAGGAAAGCATTAAGCTCTGAAAAGAATGAACTTAATGAATTTATAGTAAGCCTACTTTTTATATCATATTCCAACCTGTTGAAAAGGAATGTATAAAATCAAAACAGGACTCCTTTGGAAACCAGACAAAAAACAGGACCTTGTAATTGTACAGCATGTTCATCATGTATGTTCTGTAATTTCAGGAGTCAACGTGTGAATTCAGCATGGAACAGAGCGATCACTGGGCTGGCCCTATATGGCAGTGTACATGCTTTGTTCACCACAGCGGTATTATCTTGTCCGAAATGACCCTGACTAGTTCATCCGGGCAGCCTCATCCAGATGGCCCAGCTTACCAGATGCATGTGTTCCTCGGCTTGAAGGCTGCCACAAGAGAGGCTTCTCCTCTATGAAGCCAAATGGGCTATTTCATTTGCTCATATATTTATTGAACTAACTGTATTTCTTTGCTATCAGCAGCCAACTCTCTCTGAGCAGTTGGTTTTCTTTCCTGGTTAGAGGATCCTTTCCTTAACGTCAGGGCAGGGGCCATGATCCCTCTTACGATGCTTGGGTCCAAAAGCGGGATCCTTTGCTCTTCCGGGAGAGAAAAGGCCTCCTCCTGCCCGCCCCTGGCTGGGCCACACCCGCTTTCTTCCTCGCCCCCCTTTCCTTCCGCTCACCTTGAGGGTCTCGTTCTCCTCCCGCAGTTTCTCCATCTCTTCCTGCAGCTGCTGCTGCGCGTTCCGGCCCAAAGCTCCTTCGGGGGACACGTGGCGCCCATTGCCCCCTTCGGCCCCAATCGGTGCCATTGGCGAGGGGGTCGAGGAGGTGGAGGAGGAGGAGGAGGAGGAAGGCTGGCGCTGCTGTGCCGCTGGGCCGTCGCCCTGGTTACTGCCTTTGCTTTGCATCTGGGCCTTCTCCGGCGCTTCCGCAGGTGGAATTGGATGAGCTCACTTTGCAGGCATCCTTCCTTCCAGCATCCGCCGCCACCGCCGCCGCCGCCGCCCCGCAGCCGGGGCCCGGCCCGGCCCTTCCCTGCACAAGAAGATGGAGGCACCGGGGCGCCGGCGCCGCCTCTCCCCACCCTTTTCTATAGCGGCCTGGCGGCTTGGCCCCAGTGCCGGCCCGTGGGAAGCGCGCGGGAGCCTTCGCGCTCCACCTGCCGCCCGGCCCGGCGCGCTGCTGATGCCCGCGGCGCCTGGAAGCGGCAGCCCCGCTCCGGGGCTGCGGGGCGCCTCTCGCTCGTCAGCTGCCGCTCCTCCTCCCTGAGCCCGGCTGGGCTTCTTCCCCGGCTGCCGCTGCTGCTGGTGCTGCCGGGCGGAGCCTGCTTTGGAGGCGGCCGCGGCGGGGCAGGATGCTCGGGTCCTCCAGGAGAGCCCGCAGTCGCGGCGGCCGGTCTCCGCGGCTGTCCCCTCCGGAGGCGGACGAGGCGCGGCTGCAGCAGCGGCGCCTCCGCTAGGTGGCTCTCCCAGGTGTGGCACGGAAATGCTCCGGTCCCGCCAGGGTCACCGTGCCCCTATTTCCCTTTGAGACGGCGAAGGAGGCCCCCGCAGCGGCCTCTCTTCCACGGCGCAGGCATCAGCGGGGGGCTTGCTCTGCAATCACTGCAGCGACAAGCGTGGCAAAGGCACACTGCGCAAGCCAAGGTCTGATCTCACCACTGCCGTTGCCAGCACGCACATCTCCCGCCTGAGGAAATTTAACCTGAAGCCCATTGAACGTTGCCTTCCCTATGATGAAAAGCGCGAAATTCTGGCTCGGGGTTTTCTAACTTTTCTAATGCTAATTTTTAATTCCAAACACTCAAACATCGACCTCATCCAAAGTATGATGATAGTAATGTTCTGCAGCAACATGATGCTGTTCTACAGACGACAAACCTTGTTCTACAGACAAACTTTGCAAGGATGCTCCACTCTTAAGAAAAGCCAGATGCTGTTTAATTTAATTCAGTTAAAACATTTCTATGCTGTCCTTTGCAACAAGCCTCAGGACTGCTTACAGAAGTTAAAAATAATATAAAGAACAATATAATAATATAAATATCATTAAAACATTCAATAGTAAAACAAAATAAAAATATATCTTTTCATAACTAAAGAAAAAGAAAGAAAAGGAAATGAAAATGTGACTGTATAAAATTAATGATATTAATTATTAAAATGGTGGTTAAATAAAAAGGTATTTATCTGGCGCTGGAAAGAGTAGAGAGTCGGCACCAGGCAAACCTCTCTGGGGAGTGTATTCCATAGTCTGGACGCCACCGCAGAGAAGGCCCTCATCCAGGTGGATACCCTCTGTACCTCCTTCAAAGAGGGTTCCTGGAGCAAGGCCTCCCCTGCTGATCTTAAGGGGCATGAGGGCATATAGGGGAGGAGATGTTCCTTTAGGTATCCTGGCCTCAAGCCCTTTAGGGCTTTATAGGTTAATACCAGTACCTTGAATTGGGCCTGGACTTCAATTGGGAACCAGTGAAGCTGAAAGAGGTCTGGCATTATATGAGAATAATGGCCAGTCCCCGTCAGCAACTTGGCAGCTCTATTTTGTAACAACTGAAGTATCTGGACCATTTTCAAGGGCAGCCACACGTACAGCACATTGCAATAATCTAACCTGGAAGTTACCAGTGCATGTGTCACCGTTGCTAGGCAGTGCTCGTCCCGGCCAGGACGCAGCTATTGGATCAGTCAAAGTTGGAGGAAAGCACTCCTCACCACTACCATCAGCTGGGCCTCCAGGGACAGTTCTGGATCGAGGAGCACTCCTAACCTGCAGACCCTGTCCTTTAGAAGGAATGCAACCCTGTCCAGGACAGGACCAAAATCACTTACCTGATAATCCGAACCGCCGACCAAAAGAACCTCCGTCTTACCTGGATTGAGTCTGTTGGCCCTTATCCAGCCCATTGCCCCAGCCAGACACCAGTTCAGGACAGCAACTGCCACACCTGGATTAATGTAAATGAGAGGTAGAGCTGGGTGTCTTCTGCATACTGATGACTCTGCAGCCCAAAGCTCCTGATGACTTCTCCCAGCGGTTTCATGTAGATGTTGAAATGCATGGGGGACAAAATAGAGCCCTGCGGTACTCCATGGCAAAGCTGCCATGGTGCAGAGCTATTGTCCCCCAGCACCACCTTCTGGAATCGGCCGGCCAGATAGGAGCGGAACCACTGCCATGCAGAGCCTCCAACTCCCAATCCAGCCAGTGTATCCAGAAGGATACCATGGTTGATGGTATTGAAAGCCACTGAGAGTCCTGAGCTGCCCCGGACAGAACAGCCTCGACATGGAAATTGAAGTCTTCCAGGACCAACATCCTGGGGGGTCCTCAATTCCAGGTCCGAGACGAACTCCGTCAGCTCAGGCAGGGAGTCTGATGGGCAGGAGGGTGCACGGTACACCAGCAGATTTCTTAATCTGTCTTAACCACCCAATACCAGATACAAACACTCAAGGCCAGGGCTTGAAGGGACAGGATGCCCCGTAAGGGAGATTGAGTCTCAGAAAACCAAGGTGACCCCCCTCCCTTCCCTTACACTGTTAATTGTAACAAGATCCTCTACATGTTGATCTCAAAAGCCAGTTAGATACACTGTGATGTTTTAGATGGTGTGTAAAAACACTACTCTTTAGGAAGGATTCCATTAAGGGCCAAAGCATAAATGTCTTCAAATTCCAGTTTTGCAGTTAACTTTCTAAATGCTGTCAATGCAACTAGGAATACTGTATAAAAGCACAGTTATGTATGTTGGAAAAACCTGTCAAGTATTAATAACAAAGATGGAGAAGCAAACTATTTTGAGAACATCCATGAGGTTTGCATTATGTTATGCCTAAATTAGTTTATAATGCGTTAGTTTATAAATGCATCTTATTTATAATTAGTTTATAAATGAATCTTCAGTTTCAATTTTACATGCCTAGCCACATTAACTCATCCAGGCATAGCAGAATTAGTGTGAGAAAAGTTAAAATGCATACTTTTTGATGTTCTGGGTGACCATGTTCAAAGCAATTACCAGTCATTATCAACCAGCAGCTTTTCTTCTCCTGCACTTGCAAAGAGTTTCCATGGTCCTATGATATTTTAAAAGGACTCTTCTTCACTGCAGTATCACAAATGGAACATACAGATGATTGAACTTCTACAGGAGTGGGTTGTAACTGTTTTTGTTACATAAATGTGATTAAAAATGTGATTCCCTGCCATGGTTTTTCTTAATCTGTTAAAGTATAACTTCCATATACACCATCAGGAACATTTTTACATTGCCATAAAAATGATGGCATCCTGTGCATATTTTATGTGTACATGGAAAGTGTAGTAGTTATGCATAAACAGATAACACTGATACTTGTATGATTCTAACATGCTATGCCAGAAAGCACATAAATGTGAATTTGTGTCTTTTAAAGTTTTCCAATGTTCATAGAATACCAAAAAAAGTTCATTCATTCTGTTTGCACATATTAAATGGTTCCACTGAGGAGATACTGAAGCATGCCAGTCCAGGACAGCTGCTATAGAACAACAATCCTGGGGGGTTTGCCTCATTATATTTCAGAGTATCTGCTTCATTCTGATGCTACAAAACATTAATTAGAGCCCTTACTCTATGAAATATTGGAAAGTGAAAGAAATATTAAATTTTCTGATACAAAATCTGGTACATGATTTGGAAGGTAGACTCATTTGAAATAAAGGCTCCTAGCCCCTGGAAAAAATGGTTGGAATTCATCTGAGATAATTGTGGCAGACAGTTTTAAGGGTATAAATTCATTCTAATGTGTACTGCCCCTAGTTGTGATGTAAGAAAGAAGACTAAATATGAAATATGTGGAGTTTTAAATGAATTTTATTGTATTTCTTTTGATATGATCCATAGTAAAGTTCAGTAAGTTATGTGCTATTCTACTATGCCACAGTACAAGGTCAATAATTCCAATGATGTAGCTACTTATCCTAGTATATTCCTCTTAAATTGCTATTTTTTGACACAAATATGTCATACTTTTTCAGAATATTCCTAGGTTTTGTAAATTTGCCTCTTTTGGAAACCAAGTTCTAAACACTGTAGCGCATTAATAAATATATGGCAAGGAGCCAAAGAAAATGCGTTAAAATTAATTTAAGACTTAAAGAACAATTGTGTGGCTCCTACAGAACATTTGAGGCACCATTGGTCATTGCGAATTTCTTTTTAATGCCCCTAGGCAGAGGTACGAGTATAGAGGAAGAAATCAGATTGTGGATATTCTCATTCTCCTCCCTGCTGCCATGGAAATCTCCATAAAAGTTCCTTTTTTGAAAGTTGCAAGAGTGACCCTGGAAGTGGATGGAAAAGGAGGTGTACTCATGGGTGAGGAGGGAAGTGGATGGAGAATCCAGAATCCACAGGATTCTAAAGCTTATTTAGCTGCAAATTCTTTTCAGAGGCCGTACTAGCTAAATATTCCTAAATGAAGACTATGATAGGAAAACTGCTCCGTTCTTTCCATTACTTCTGGCTTCCTCCAGCACTGCTTAGGCTAGCCAGAGGGCTCTAATCAAAGAATCCTCCATCTACAGAGTATCAATTCTATAGGACTGCATTGTTAGGAAGCAATCTTACCCCATTCCAAGCAATCTTAGTATGGGGGCATCTGCAGGCATTTTAGGAGGAGGGGGAGATGTGGCGAAGCTGCATAGCAATAAGTGGTTTTAATTCATGTGTTTACTGCATGTCACTACAAGACACCTGTGCACTTTGTTGCTTAGCATCACATGACATTTAGAAACCTGCACAGAATTCTAGAAGATCCTAAGAAATGAACTCTAAAGCATAAGAGTGTTATGTTCAAGGAACATTATGAATGACAACAAAACTTTATTTGGAGTGGGGGATAAAATCACACACCTAGGAACAAGTGAGAAACAATCT